AATGCTGCATTAGATGAATGTAGTGTAGAGAGCACAGTTCATAGCTTATTCCTGACATGAAGTGTAGCACATTGAGATCTGCCACCCGGAGCTGAAATCTTTCATTTTGGTATGACTCTGCTTTTGCTAAACTATCCTTAGCTGACAGATATTTTTCCCCAGCAAGAAGTTACTTTGCTTGTTAGCTAAAGTGGGCTAGCAAAGGCACTTCTGCATTTCTGTACTAATATCCTTTAGGAGAGACAACCTGTATCCAGTATCTTTCAGTAATGAACTTAACAGTAAATATACCACAAGAGCTCATTAATCTAACTCTGCTTTCTAACCAAGAGGGAGCTCCTGTTTCTCAGGAGACAGTTTCATCTCTAAATCTGAACTGGTTTTAAGGATAAGAATAGAGATAAACATATTGGCTTTCTCTCCTAGTGCACATAAATTAATAATGTAATTGCTGTCAAAGTTGATGAGCCTGGGTCTGGAATGGGCACTCCCACACACAACCGACTACGTAGTGCACTCCCTGATTCCCAAGGCTAGTGAAGCCGGGAGAGAATACAGAAGCAATAATACAACTGTGAACTAGTGAAAAATTCTTCAGAACTATGTTGTTACACAACCTAGCTCCAATAGGATGATGCATGGCTCATTTAAATTCTCAGGCACTTTTGAGAATTTTATCCTTTATCTATTTAAAAAGCCCAATGCATAATGTAAAAGAAAAGCTAATAATATAAAAACTTGTCTTAAGTAAAATGTTAAAAATCCTGTATTGGATATTGGTTTTTTAATGCTGGGATTTTTATTTATTAATTCAGTTGTAGGCATTATCACTATTCTGTATGAACAGTCTGTAAATTTTCCATATGGGTTTTTAAGGCATTGCTCTCACTTGCACATATTTATAAAAAGCAAAAGCCCTGGCAATAAGAGACAGCTGAAAATAGTTAAGATCATTCACTGCCCCACTGGAATAGTGAGACTCTAAATTAACAGAATCCACTCAAGAAAAGCATCTGGATACCTTTTGTGGACAGTTTGATGAATTTGTCAGTGTGCAGTTGCAGTTTTTTTTGTTTTTTTTTTTTAATGTTAGGATGCATGAGGATTGAAGCAGAGAATAATAGAGACAATATTGATGGAATACCTTTATCTAGGATACTGTGTAAATTACTGCTCACCTTGTCTCAGAAAGGATGTTGCAGCATTAGAGGGGTCTCAAAAAAGAGTGGTGAGAATGATTGGGGCTTAGAAAAACTCTGGTATGTAGAGCATGAAAATAATGGGATCGTTTACCTTAGAAGGAGACAAAATAAGATAGGACATGATAGTTACATAAAACAATGGTCTAGAGAAGATAGAGCGAAAGCTTGTTTTCCTTGCTTCATAACACAAGAACAAGGAGACAGTCAATGAAGCTGAAACGTGACAAATTCAAAACTGATAAAAGGAAATAGACACTGGAACTCACTGCCACAGAATGTCATTGAAGCCAAGTGTTTTAGCAAGATTCAAAGAAGGATTGGACATTTATATAGATAGCAAGAATATCCAGACTTGTTAGCTAATGATGATTTAAAAAAAAAAGTGGAAAGGATATGAAACCTCATATTGCAGGGTTTAAGGCAATTTCTAACAGGGATAAGGATGAGACCGTCATGGTGGGCAGATTATACCATATCTGTTTACTGCATGGTCTTGCACTTTCCTGTAAAACATCTGGTGCTTGCCACTTTCAGAGACAGGATACTGGACTAGATGGACCTCAGCTCTGATCCAATATGGCAATTGCTATATTCCTATGCCATCCAATTGGTACTGGTTCAGCAGTCTGATGTCCTATTTTCAACAAATGGAGAAGGGAAATGCCAATCTCAGTTGGAGATGTTCCCTTCTCCATAACGTACACAAGAGAATCAGGCAAGTAGCCTGTTAAGCTGATACCCAAGGGCATTCTTACTTAAACCATCTTTACCATCTGACCTTGGAAGTGCTTGGTACTTTCTGCGTATGTCTGCTGTGGATCAGCAGTCGAGAATAAATGGGGACAGGGATAGAGGAGAGAGGTTTTATATCCTAATTTAGCTGAATCATTGTCTGTTTTGTTAAATAAGATAAGTAAAGGAAGTAAAGTAAAGGAAACTCCGTTTTTGTTGCTGGTATCCCGAGAACACATGCTCTGTACAAGATAAGGATGTGAAATATAGCAAAGTCTATAGCAGGTGCCATTGAAACTGCGAGCCAAAATAAATCCATCTGGTCTTCAAGTTAGTTTTGCAAAAAAAAAAAAATCCCTCATGAGATTTTTTTTGTATCAGTTTTCTTAATGTAAAGGTAGTCTATTGGTTCTTTCATCTCTATAGCTGTGTCTTGTAATATACAGTAACTCCTCGCTTAACGTTGTAGTTATGTTCCTGAAAAATGTGACTTTAAGCGAAACGATGTTAAGCGAATCCAATTTCCTCATAAGAATTAATGTAAATGAGGGGGGTTAGGTTCCAGGGAAATTTTTTTCACCAGACAAAAGACATTATACACACACAGTATAAATTTTAAACAATTGAATACTGTACACAGCAATGATGACTGTGAAGCTTGGTTGAGGTGGTGAAGTTAGAGGGTGGAAAAGGGTGGGATATTTCCTGGGGAATGCCTTATTGCTAAATGATGAACTAGCATTTGGTTGAGCCCTCAAGGGTTAACACGTTGTTAATGTAGCCTCACACTCTGCAAGGCAGCACGAATGGAGAGAGGGGAGACAGCAAGGCAGACAGAGACACACACCCTGTGTGTGGGAGAGGGAGAGAGATGCGCATTTCCCCTTGAAGTTGAGACAGCAGCTCGCCAGCAAGCTCTCTCCCTCCGTCCTGTCCCCACCCTGCTCTATATGGAGAAGGGATAAGCGGGGGACAGGAGCAGGGGGGAGGGGGACACCCTGACATTAGCTCCCCTCCTGCACAGCAAGCAAGAGGCTCCTGGGAGCAGCTCCAAGGCAGAGGGCAGGAGCAGCATATGGCCGTGGGGGGAGGGACAGCTGAACTGCCGGCAATTGGGCGGCTGCCGCACAGGGAATTTAGGGGAGTGGGGAGCTGATGGGAGGCTGCCAGTCCACCCTGGTTCCAAGCCCCCACCAGCTAGCTGCAACAGGCTGCTCTTCCTGCAAACAGTGGACAAAGCAGGCGGCTGCCAAATATTATAATAGAGCATTGCACAACTTTAAATGCGCATGTTCCCTAATTGATCAGCAACGTTAACCAGGACGACTTTAAGTGAGGAGTTACTATAGTTTTAGAAAAGTAGTTCTCAAACTGTGGGTCGTGACCCCATTTTAATGGGGTCGCCAGGGCTGGCTTAGACTTACTTGGACCCAGGGTTGAAGCCCAAGCCCCATCACCTGGGGCCAAAGCTCGAGCGCTTCACCCCTGGGTGGCAGGATTCAGGTTACCAGGCCCCCCTGCTTGCGGGGCTTCAATTTTGGCCCCCCTGCCTGGAGTGGTGGGGCTTGGGCTTTGCCCCCTCCGCCCCCACACCTGGGACAGCAGGTCTCAGGCAGGCTCAGGCTTTGGTCCCCCCTCCTGGGGTCATGTAGTAATTTTTGTTGTCAGAAGGGGGTCACGGTGCAATGAAGTTCGAGATCCCTTGTTTTAGAAGTTTGAAATAATTGTGGTTTTAATCTGTTCTGATTGCTTATGGAGAGGCAGTAGCAAAGTGTTCTGTGGGAGGCAGAATGATGTCCTTTGAGCTATCATGTAGGAGGGTTATTGTTGGCATACATTATATCGTACTACTTTTCAAACTCAGTGGATTATGCCAACCTGGTAGTTGTGTGCTGCTGTTCTGCCGTATTGTATCAGCCTACTACTACTTACCACTATACAGCACTTTTCACTTGCAAAGGCCTTTAGAAACACTACTTACAATGTCCCTGTGAGGTAATTCTTATCCTCATTTTACTGATAGGGAAACTGAGGCAGAGAGGAGATCTGTTCAAAGTTATCAAGTATCCGTGTCAGAGACAGTATCTGAAGTCAAGACTTTCTTCTACTCACTCTAATGTTCAGACCACATCCCCAGATGAGAGTTCGGTTCCCAATCTCTCCCTAGATTGAAAAAGGCTGGGTGATGAAGAGGCTTCATTCTTCACCTTTGAAAAAAGGACTGCCTTCTATTATTGAACTGTAGGGCTCTGGATGACTGATATTAAGTAGCTTGGCGAGGAAGGAAGGGAGAGAGAAGACTGACCCACAGTCAAAAGGATAATGGCATGACATAGCATCGTGAGGACAGGGAATCCTCGGGTTCTGACAGAGAGAGCGTGAGGACACCCTCAGAAAGAGAGTGGTATTCAGTACAACTGTTTTAAAGACTGGACTGGGAGTGGACCTGGGAAATCTGGGTTCTTTTCCCAGCTCAGTCTTGGGGTTGGTGGTGGTAACAGAGTCAACATTTTCAAAAATAGCTTCTGATTTTGAGTGCCTTGGTATTTGGGTCCCCAAACGGACACCCTGGACAGCATGCTCAGCACCCTCTACTCCAACAGAAGTCAAAGGAAGCTGAGGGTATTCAATGCCTCTGAAAATCAGACCCTAGATATTTCCAGCTGGGCATCCAAAATCAGAGACTAATTTAGAAAATGTTGGTTTTACTCTCTCACCTGTAAAATAGGAATCTTCCTTCCTAACAGAGGGGTAAGTTGCAAGAATAAATTACTAATATATGACTTGAACTCAGATGTGCCATAGAAAATGCTGTAAATATAGGTGGAAGCTATGTTGTCTCCCATTGAATGTGTATGATACAAAACAGCACGGAATTTGAAGTTGTTCATACCAATATTTATTGTGACAATATCATGAAAACAAATGAAAATGTGAAGTTTTCATTGATCTTGAAACCCCACTAATCCCCAGCATAATGCTGCTCTCCTGTCCTCCTGGTGACATAGGATTCAGCCATTTCAAGGGAGTCCTTAACACAACACATTCTTTCCTTCTCCTTGGCAGGTTATGTGTTCTGTATGTTGCATCGCCTGCCTGAACAACATGACTGCACATTTGACCACATGGGACGTGGGCGTGAGGAAGCCATTATGAAAATGGTGAAACTGGACCGGAAAGTAGGGAGATCATGCCAGCGCATCGGCGAAGGGTGTTCCTGAGTGCGAGACTCTGCAACCAAATGCTGTTCTTAGTTCACTAATGTTAGCCTTATTTAGGACAAAGTCAGCCAGACACCTTGTACTGGGCAAGTTTCAGACTACAGCCAATCAGTTTCCTTTCTTTAGCCAACCGTCCTGGTACTGTAGTTTAGGGGTTGATGGTGGTTGAAATTGATTTCTGGCTGGTTACAAAGGTGCCTGCTAGCCAATGTATAAAATTAAAACATGAAAAAATATTTTTTCGAGCATGGCTAGTGGATTTAAAACACAACAAAACAAAAAATCCAAAGGCTTCGATTATTGCTGGAGTCAAACTCTAAAAGCCTTACGCTGGAAACCTTCCAGCTGCAGAGTTATAATAAACAGCTGAGTAGAAGCTGGTGTAAAAGTTTGCTATGCACACGGCTTTCAGACAAACTGTGTTTAATGTGCAGCCTTTCACCTCTTCACTTCTAGTTAATCCTGAAGAGATGAAACTCCACTAAGAGCAGCCGTGGTAGCTGCTAAGCCCGGAAGACCTGACTGGTCATCCGTGCCTTCATCACGCGTGGCTTTTGAGGTTAGGCAATGTCACCAGCATCAGGGATTCTGTTGGGGAGGGAACATCTTTCTGGTTCTTCCCAGGAAGCCAAAAAGAGGGGGGACAGAGATTCTTATGAAAAAATTTTATATCTAACTTGCTGCAGAGATCCTGTTTTTCTTCATTTAAATTATGGTGATCTCATTTTAAAGCTGGTTACATCCTAGAGCAGTAACAGTGTGTATTCTCTACATGGCATCCATAGAATTTCTAAGCGTTGTCTGACCAGATTCCACGGTTGTTATGTATGCTGACCAGTGCTGCCATTCCCACCGGCCGAAACCTGATTGGCTCTTGTTTGCCTTTTGCTAAGTGCAGGTATCTGATAATTGATCAAATAAGGCTAATTCACAGCACAGTAGCCAAGGCTGGATTCTACAGACTGACTTTCTGTAGCTAGACATATATATTGGGGGGGGAAAAGGACATATTGTAGCAAACAGAATTCAGTAACAGTATTGGGGAACAACCAGGAAAGCATCCCTCATCAGCTTGAGTTTTAACAAGATAATCAAATGGGCTATGTCAGCCTTGTTTCTATGCAGCTCAATGCTCTCATGAAAATCTCTGCCCGCAAATATTGCAAAGCAAGTGAATGTGAAATGCATTACATGGAAAACTTTGGATCTGTTGTTTAGACTTATGCGCTCTTTCACACTGAGCCACATAGAGCTGAACTGCACAGATCTTGTTAGTTTGTAGCGGAAAAAGAAAAAAATCAGCATGTCTCCTGCTGCAGACAAAGTTTATGCAGGTCAAGAGGATTCATGCTGATTTGTCTCAGTAGTCCTATGTGGATATGGTTCCCTGACCCAAGTTAGTAAAGCATTAACAATCAGGTAGTTTAGTAGAAAAACTGGGGGGGGGGGGGAGGGGGGGGGGGGAGGATTTTGTATAGTTTTGAAAAATTGGGCTTGTGTAAAACTTCCAAGGGGTGAAGTAGCATATTGTCACTCCAAAAAAGGTGTGTGGGGAAAGAGAGCTTAAATAAGTCCTCCTCTTTTCTGCATGTGTTAAAGGTAAATAATTTCATACAGGCTAAATTAATTTTTAGTTTGGTAGCCAGATCAAACCATTTAATGAGACATTTTTTAAAAAATACACTCAGCATCAGACTGTATTAGTGTGATTTAACCATGAAATAAATCAGAAATGTTCCATCATTTATAAAATGCAAGCTATGTAAACAAAACTTTTTTTTTTTTTTTTTTTTTTTTTTTTTTTTTACTATTCAAGGTTATGGAATCAGTAACAAAATTTCCACTGTATTTTCAGGAAATGGTCCCACTGCATCCTGGTGACAGGGCAATCTGAGGATATTCTTAACATTTACCATGAAGAGTTTAAAAATCATGGATTTCAGCTGTTGCTGAGATACGCACTTTCTTTTCCTCTAAAATCCTAGCATAGTCTTTGGTGGACATTCTGATTGATATACAATACTCATCCGCATTAATACTGATGATGCTATTTAGCCCTCCTACTCCTTTAACCCTGTTATAAATACACAGTTGGTTTCAAGGTGGCTCTTAAGAGAACACTACTCAAAGTTCATGTGGATTATGGGCAATATTCACTTTAAAAAAAAAAAAGGTTGGGGGAGGGGTTGTTCCTTTGCAGTATCTGTTCTGTGAAGTTTGTTAAACGTAAAGAAAGCTTAAGTTCTTGTATCTTTAAAGAAAATCTTATTTAACCCTTTTGTGTTCTAGATTTACTTACACATGTAGCCTAGAGCTCAGTTTTAGTTTAACATTGTGAAAATATTAAAAGAATCTTGTAACTTTATTCTTTTTCCTCCTGCTAAAAAAAAAAAAAAAAAAAAAAATTAAACCAATCAGACTGAAGTTTGAATTCCTCTCTGACTATTCCAGCAGGTCATGTTGAGCTGCACTGTTTCTGCTGTTTATGAAATGTGAATGGGGGAAAAAAACCTCAGCACTGGGCCAGTGATTTCAAATTGTGTTTAAAGTTGGTGGGAAGTAGGCAGTATTTTCTGCCCGTCATTGGCGCTAGCACTTCTGCAGAGTTCAAGTTTAGCAATTTCTTTTGTAAGCAAATCTAGTTTAACCTCACAAAACTTTATTTCTCAATATTGAGGTTACAGTAGATTTGTCACTTTTATCAAACAAGTTTCTTTGCTCTTAAGTCCCATGCATATGGTACTGCACTGTTACAGCGGTATAAGTAGTAAAGAATGTCCTCTAAAGTAAATGTATTTTGACTGATTCTTCACCTGCAGTAGCTGTATGCTGAATGTAAAGTTCCATAGTTATGAGATGTTCATAATTGGTAATTAGGAGCTAAACTATATAGATTGGATCTTACAATGCCTAAAACATGGAACTAGTTGAATAACAATGGAATGTGTTGAACAAGGAGACAAAGTCAAACTGGTACTATTTAAATTCAGTTTGGAATTGAAATTATGCCTGAGTCATGGGACATGTACCCCTATTTTTTTTTCCTGAAATGAACACTGTACTTTCAAAGATAAAATTGTGTATTGTGGTTCTTGCACACCACTTCAGTAGTAAGTCACAAGTAGAGAGATCCCAGCTGCTACTGTAGTTCCAAGGAGTGAGCCAAGATTTTCAGAAAAAAAAGAGGGAGCTCTGTCAGCTAGAATGAGCAGGGGGCTACCTCCAAAACCCTTTCTTGCTCTGTATCTGCTATTGGCTGTCTTGCAATAATAAAGCTTTAACTACAGAAAGTGAATTTAGTGCTGGTGAAAGTGCTAGCATTGATAGCACTGGCTAAATCTTGGCACGGTGTGGGCTAGCATTATGTAAGCGTACATGTGCAATTACACTTCATTCTGAAGGTATAACATGCCCCTGGTGCTGTATCCTCAGAGCCAGTCAAAAAGATTCAATTTTAATTTTTCTGATAGTTGGTCAAAAAACTGACAAAATTCACCTAATTTTAATCCTCTGAACCCTATTTTGATGGTGAGTTGACTTTGTAGCACAAACTAAATTATGTAGAATGAGAACAATCCTCTCTCTTTCTCATGTGAATGATTTGTGCCTAGGGCTCCAAGGGTGAAACGTGCATGCACAAACCCAGTTCTCTGCCTTGTGATGTTTGTCTCCCAAAAGGAAGAAAACTGGAATCTGTTATAAAATGCAAATTTTATAATGGATTCCAGATGCTCTATCAGCAAAATCATTAACAGTCCCCAGACAGCATGGTCCTTGGTACATTATTAAATACATACAGCCATCAATCAATGCTCCTTTGTCACTGGGTATATTAACTGAAATTGACACTCAGTAGTAGTAGTACAGTAAAAAAATGTAGAGAGGCTCAAACCAGAGTGCCAGCAGGAAGTTAAAGTGAAGGAAGCCTGGGGTAGAGCAATGGCTTTTCAACCTTATTTTCAGTTGGGGACCCCTAAAATTTTTGAATGGATGTGCGGACTCCCAGGAATCTGCAGACCACAGGTTGAAAACCATTGTTGTATGGTAATGACAACCGTGTGTGGACCCCTCAGATAGTCTGCAGACCCCCAGTTGAAAACCACCAGATTCAATTCTGACTTTAAACTTGGGCACATCTGCAGCACTGTAAAAAGAGAGATTTACACAAACAAGTCACCATTTGCTAGACTGAACTCTACTTACTGATGTCAGCCTGTTTGTCTTATTAGCCAAACTTTTGTCCACTATGATGCTGCCGTCCGAAATAATAATAAAAAAAAAAAACTCACAAAAAGGGCATGTCATAGCCTTCAAATCAAATGGAGAGGTGACAGCAGAGCTCCAGAGAAGACATGTGGGCTATCTTACCAAGTAGTATTGCTTCTATTTAATGGCAAGCACTGGGTGTGTTAGTTTCATGTGAATGAGTTCTTCTCTACTTTTATGCAAACTCTCAAGGGCCAAGCTGTAGGTTTCAGTGATGTATTTTTCTGACTATATACTTTAGTTGTGTTCTTATGTTAACTTTTTCCTCCTGTTGACGTACTCCCCAAGTTAGCTGGATCTGTGGAAGTAGTGGTTCTGCTAGAGCATTCTCTTCTACTACATTGATTTGCAGCATTCCCAATAAGACAAAAGACATATCAACCCTCAACCTTTAAGATCAGGCAGGTTGAACCAGGAGCTGTGTTCTGTAATGTTCATGGCCCTATAAGCACCACAGGCATATAGATGGTGGCACTGCTCCAAGGACATCAGACACATCATGGAGGTGTCCTGTCTTATCTGGATGTGGACTATGACTTTTTTTATAGACTCGGTCCTTTGGAGGTACCAGACACCTACAGTATACCATGTCCTGCAAGCTGTAGATAGGAGTCAGCAAGAGGAATAGAGAATGTACAAAACCTACATGCATATACTAGTCACAGCCACTTACATCTTCTGAAGTCAGTGATCACAAAGGTTATATCACACATTACCAAGTGCCAAGCTAGGTTGTGAATTTACTTTTTTTAAAAAGCACCTGAATAGTGTCCTGGTGTCTGATTCAACACCGTGAACTCCATTTATTTGCAAAGTAAAATGGGAACATGCTTATATTTGGTCTAAAACAGATGTTGGTTTTTACTGTTTAATAGGGATTAAATTTTGCTACAATGAGTTTCCTGTTTTGCTACTGCACTTACAATGTATTATACATTCCCTAATGGACAAACTATGCATAACTTTGGAAGATAAATTATATACCTAATTCAAAATAGAAAAAAAGATTAAACATATCTGAAGTATTGGGGAAACGTTCAAAAATTCAATAAATGCACTCTATAAAACAATTTTTTTAGATGGTGATAGATAAGCTTTGAAGGCATTGGTTTAAGCACAAGGTTCCTTTCTGTTGGATCTGTTCAAGGTAAAATTAAGCTGATGCTATTCAAGGGGGGGCAGCTAAAATAAAAGATTAAATTAAACAAAGGAAAATTAGCTACCCAAGGAAAAGTTTCCTAAATGAGCTCTTGGACTCTTGAATATAGTCCTCTAGAGAACTGGTCGAAGTCTGACTGCTTAAAACCAAACTGAATATGGGCTTGGGAGGATTAGATTTTTATCTGTAAATGTTGATTTCAAAACACACACCCACACACCCCTTCCCTGGCTGATAACTGAAATTCACAGATGGGCAAAATAAGAAAAATGCTGCTTGAGAACTTTCATTAGAGTTTGATTTAAGGATATTTACTTTGTATGTTGACAATTTGTTTTAATGGTTATAAAGCTTTAAACTTATTGAATCTAAACATCTACTGTCATTAAATAACGATTGTTTGATCTCTTCTCCCTCCCCCCCCCCCATAATTTTCTACAACTGTGAAAATTTAAAGCAATAAAAATGCTTTAAAATAAACACTGGTATTATCCATTGAAATTACTAAAAAAAACCCAACCCTGAATTCTACCCAGCCTAACTATATGGAATAATCCACTTTAGCCAGAGGACAAGTCTGATCTAATAGTTCTTTTCCATCTCTTAATTCCTGATTCACTTTGCTAATGAAGATGGGGATCTGATCAAAGTCCTTGACTTTTTAGAAAACTACTTTCTTAAGTAAACAAATTTGGCTGAAGGCAGAGATTGCTAAGAGAACTGATCTACAGTGAAGGAGAATGGAAAGTGAGAAAGATTTGTTCTATGTCTGGATACTGTTTTACTCCATACTCTTCCAGTATTGTTCAGAATTTTAGTAATCCTACTTCCTTCATAATTTAAAAAATAAAACCCACCTGAAACTAGTAATTGTCAGTGCAGCATATTGTGTGTGGGGTTTAAAAAAAAAAAAAAAAAAAAGAGAAATTAGGAAAGAAAAAAAAATAAAAAAAAAAAAAAGCCTGTGTGATCAGCACTGCCAAGATAATCAAGATTTCTTTCAGCACTTAAGGAAACATTTATTTT